TCTGTCCCTTGTCAGGGGGAGATGGCCCTGCTGCTGGCCCTCTGGCTGGTGGCCCTGCTCGGCCTGGCCCAGGCGTGCCCCGAGCCCTGTGCCTGCGTGGACAAGTACGCCCACCAGTTCGCTGACTGCGCCTACAAGGATCTTCAAGTGGTGCCCACTGGGTTGCCCTCCAATGTGACCACCCTCAGCCTCTCGGCCAACAAGATCACCTCGCTGCAGCGGCGCTCCTTCGTGGAGGTGACCCAGGTCACCTCCCTCTGGCTGGCACACAACGAGATCCGCTCCATTGAGCCCGGTACCTTTGCCATCCTGGTGCAGCTGAAAAACCTCGACATCAGCCACAACCAGATCGTGGACTTCCCCTGGCAGGATCTCTACAACCTCAGTGCGCTGCAGCTGCTCAAGATGAACAATAACCACATGGCTCTGGTGCCTCAGGGGGCTTTCCACACCCTGAAGGACCTCCGCTCTCTACGCATCAACAACAACAAGTTCACCACCCTTGCGGAGGGTATCTTCGACTCACTCAGTTCCCTCTCCCACCTTCAGATCTACAACAATCCCTTTGAGTGCTCCTGCAAGCTCCAATGGCTGAAGAAGTGGATGGACAGCACACTCATCTCCATCCCTGAGAAGGACTCCATCGCTTGCGCCCTCCCGGAGCAGCTCCGGGGAGTGTCGGTGGGGAAGATCCCAGATGTGCAGTGCACTTCGCCTACCGTGCAGCTTACCTATTACCCCAACCTGGACACCACAGAGCTCTTTGACGGCTTCACCCTGACGCTGCACTGTGCTGTGACAGGCACCCCACCACCCGAAGTGAGCTGGAAGATCCGCACCTCCAGCCAAACCCTGGAGCTCAATGGGAACCCAAAGGAGAGCACTGGGAAGGACCCCCCCAAACAGGACCCCGAGCGCTTCTTGGTCTTCAAGAATGGCACGTTGGTGATTCCCCACCTGAGCAAGCGGGAAGAAGGCACCTACACCTGCCTGGCCACCAACGAAATGGGGAGCAACCAGACCTCGGTCAATGTGGCTGTGGCAGGCACCCAGAAATACCCACTGCAGCCCGGGAGGGACCCACTGGGGGGTAAAGCACAGCCAGGTGACAAGAAGCCTGGGGCCAAGGGGGCAAAGAACAGTGTGCTCATGCCAGACGAGAGGAACAAACCCCTCGGTCCCACCCTGCAGAGCCAACCATCCTCAGCGGCTGGGACAGAGTCCACAGGAGATGGGCAAGTCCCTTTCCAGCTTCCACCCTTTGAGAAGAAGTGTGGCTCCACGCAAACCAGCAAGTATATTTCCAACCATGCCTTCAACCAGAGCGGTGACTTCAAGCAGCACACCTTCGACCTGGGGGTGATTGCCTTAGATGTGTCAGAGCGCGATGCCCGGGTGCAGCTCACGCCCACCTACATGCAGCCCGAGAAGGTCCACCTCAGGATGCTCTACCTGTGCCAGGAGAGTGGCCAGGGCCATGCCTTGGTCCAGTGGTCCAAGATCGAGGAAGGGGTGAACTCGTACTGGTTCCAGGGCTTGAACCCTGGCACCAACTACTCCATGTGTCTCACCTACCTGGGGGAGGACTGCCAGGTCCAAGTGGTCTTCACCACCAAAAAAGAGATTCCCTCGCTCATCATCATCGTGGTCGTGAGCATCTTCTTGCTGGTGCTGGCCACCTTACCCTTGATGGGGGCCACATGGTGCCACCTCCTCTCCAAATACCAAGGCAAGTCCTACAAGCTCATCATGAAGGCCCAGAACCCAGACCAGATGGAGAAGCACATGGCTGCCGACTTCGACCCCCGTGCCTCCTACCTGGAGTCTGAGAAGAACTACAATCCCAGCGAGGTGGGGGAAGCGGACGTGGAGGAAGAAGTCGATGAGGAGGAGGAGGATGACGAAGGAGGCAGGCGGAGGAGGAGGAGAGAAGCTGAAGGGGTTCTGGAACTGGAGCGAGAGGAGAGTGTGGCGGCCAGCTCCATGGTGGAGTCGCAATCCAAAGCCAATGGCGAGGAGTTCGAGGTCCGCTCCGAGTACAGTGACAAGCTGCCGCTGGGTGCCGAGGCCGTCACCATCTCCCAAGAGATCAACGGCAACTACCGGCAGCGTCCCCGCTGAGCACCCCCGGACCCCTCCCGGTCCCCACCTCCTC